AAGAGAAAGTCAGGAGAAGAGGCGACTTTTGGTGCGCACGCTGAGGTCTTCAGACACGCCTCCGGACCCGAAACAGGCTAGGCGCGGCGGCTCCGCCCCTTGGCCCACTTGCGGATTGGGGAGAGGAGGCGGGTGGAGCACTGGGGGATCGGGAAAGGGAGCCGGTCATAGGGAAGGGATTGAACGCGGAGAACGATTGAGCTCCGGCTCTGCTCACGCACCCGGTGGCTGGGTGGAGCAGGAACGAGAGGGGTGAGGCGAGGCTCAAGGGCCCGGCCCCTTTGGGAAGAGGATCGCCCGGCAACGAGGCAAGAAAGCCGAGGCTCCCCCCGGACTGCTAGGGCTGTTGTGAGCTGAGGGGGCGCTCCTCAAGTGGTGGTCAAGGGGCGTTTACAGAGGCACCTCTGCACCCCTGGCAAAAAAAAGTGTTCTGCGACCGCTTACTTCGCGTAATGGACGAGCCACCCCTGGTTATGGCGACCATTTTTATGCTTATATTTTGTTTTTGTTAATCTTATGGTTATGTTGTTTATTACTTTGTATGTTTTGTGATGTTACCTGGGAACCACTCTGAGTCCCCTCGGGGAGATGGAGCAGTATATAAATAAAGTATTATTATTATTATTATTATTATTATTATTATTATTATTTATAAAGCACTGTGCCAAGATGGCACGGAACTGTAACAAGCCATCATGTTGAGGTTGCTCAGTGTTTAAATATCTCTACTATACAATAGTTCAATCTGCTGAAAATGCTAAGGGGTGGGTGCAAGTAACAGTGGAGCGTCACACCAGACTTATTTGCATGATGGGTTTTATAGATTATAATCAGATATGTCCATAAATCGGAGGTCTTTTGGAAAAAAGTCATTATTTGTGCAGGTGGGTCGAGGAAGCTGTTCTGTAAAAGTCATTTCTGATGGGCTGGGATGTAACTTCTCTCTCTCTCTCTCTCTGGCCATTGGTTAGCTGTGGGTTACCAACCCTCTGTTCCAGCAGATTAGATCAGCAGTCCTGCAACGAGAGCAAAAGACCCAAAACAAAACAAAACCAAACCCTGGTGTCAGGGCTCGGTTTCCTGGCCTTGGACATTGGCGCAAAAAACCAGAATCCTGACATGGAGAGCCGATAAGAGTATGCAGCTGGTGGCCTTGGGAGGAGCAGTTGGTGGTTGGCGGGGAACATTGAGCGGGAACTACAATCGGCGGGAAAAAGGGATTCGAATACGGGGGAGGGTATATAAGGGTTGACTCGAGACGGTGTGCCAATCCTGGCTTTCGTTGTGTATGCATATCCAGTAGTAAAAGTTTCCTGATTGATTACGGATCGGCATCCTGTGTCATTTTTGGAGCGGCTGCTGGGAGCTCACATTAAGCCAGGATTTGCAGTGCCATCCCACGGCTGTGGTGAGGCACCCCCATGCAGGGAGAGGAGGA